TGCTTCTTAGTATTTCAAATCTTTGACATGATTCTTGGGATCCTCTAGTCTTCTGTTGGATCTCTGTATATTATTCTTTATTTCAGTCAGTGTATGCTTGATTTCTGACTGGTCCTTTTCCATTTCTTTGGCATTCTCATTAAGATCCTTGAAGGTCTCACTAAGTTCCTCAGAGATTTGTAGAAGATTCTTGAGTAACCTTATAACTGTGGTTTTGAACTCCAAACCCAGTAATCTGCTTTCCTTCATTTCTTCCATTTGTGACATGTTTCTTCGTCTCCGCATCTTGGCCACTTCCCTGTATTGACAGAGTGGCTTTGTGTGGTAGGTGTCCCACTGGGCCCAGTGGCTCAGCCTCCCCAATCACCTGAGGTGGACACTCTTGGTGCACCCCTCTGTGGGCTGGGTGCACAGTCCAGAGTCTCAGAGAATCACCAGGGCGGAGCAAACACTGATGGCTGTCATCAGCAGTCTCCGCGACTCCACGCATCTCCACATCTCACTGTCTCCATCTCAGTGTCTCCGCGTCCCCAAGTCCCACGCCCCCACAGTAACAATGATCCCTGTGAGCAGTTCTGTAAGAAAGCCACCCTCGCTTTCCGACCCAATGCCAGACAGTCTGGTTTCTCCCCATAGGAGTTTGGGTCCCGAGAGACTCGCTGGAAATGAGGTCAGTACAGTCAGGAGCTTGTATCTCCCTTCCCACATACCCAGGAGCATCCTGGTTCACACACCTCCATACCTTTGCTCTTGGCGCCTCCGCACCTCCTACTCAGCCTCAATGCGCTTTTTTCACTTCTAATTGTAGAACTTCCACTCAGCCAGCTTTCCACAGTCGGGAGCTTGTATCTCCCTTCCCACGTACCTAGGAGCATCCTGGTTCACACACCTCCATACCTCTGCTCTTGGCGCCTCCGGACCTCCTACTCAGCCTCAATGTGCTTTTTTCACTCTAGTTGTAAAACTTCCACTCAGCCAGCTTTCCCATGGTTCTGGATGATCACCGTTTTGTCTTTTCATTGGAGTTTTTGTTTGTTTGTTTTAATATATTTTATTGATTTTTTGCAGAGAGGAAGGGAGAGGGATAGAGAGTTAGAAACATCGATGGGAGAGAAACATCGATCAGCTGCCTCCTGCACATCTCCCACTGGAGAAGTGCCCGCAACCCAGGTACATGCTCTTGACCGGAATCGAACCCAGGACCCTTCAGTCCACAGGCCGATGCTCTATCTACTGAGCCAAACCGGTTTCGGCTCCGTTGGAGTTTTAATGTGGTTGTGGGGAGCGGCACGTACAGGTATATACCTTATGCCGCCATCTTGGTTGTTCCTCAAGTTTATTTTTTAAATTGTGACATCCTGACTAAAGAAAATGGATCCTGGACCTATAACACGTAAGGAGAAGAAACCCATGGGACAGGAGAAAAACAAAATCAGTACATTTATTCTCTCTAAGGTGGTTGTAACAAACAAAATCATTGCTCACATCTATATATATAAAAGGCTGCTATGTAAAGTGTCCCCTCAGTTCGACCACTTGCTATGATGTGCGCTGACCACAAGGGGGTGGCGAGGAGGGAAGGAAGGCCCCGGCGGGCAGCCAGAAGCCCCCAATCGATCCTGATCACTGGCCAGGCCTAGGGACCCTACCTGTGCACGAATTTCATGCACCAGGCCTCTAGTGAATAAAGAATACCAGAGATAGTATGTAGGGTTGAGTTTTGGCTGTATTCAACATCTAAATGGCAAAAATAATTCAAGTTCGTCTTATATAGGAGACGTAAGAAAATAATTGTTGCCTTCAATTCAATTTTAAATTTGTGGAATGGCATAATACATTTTTTGAGGTACCTATTCCAAGATCTGCTAAAATTATTTATACTGCTATTTCCATATTTAATAAGCTGTTTATCTACTCTGGGTAGCTGTTAAGATAGTATCAATAAAGGCCACTAAAAATGGTGCCAGAATTCAGGTGAGAAGAGAGTGGAAATGGGAAGAGGATGGGAGGATAATGACACTGGGTAGTAATAACAAACATAATTTTGAAGGTTTCCTAACTAATGCCACAAAATTATATATGTTGGCTAAATGCCACTGGACAGCTGGGAGTGATCAGGAAATGAGTGGAATATCCTAATCGTCCCAGTTAGATTCCTCACTAGCCTGTAATTTGGATGTCTAGCTCATGAGGGATGGTTTACACAGACTGCTAGGTGAAAGGACACTTCACAATAAAATCCTGTTTTCTAAGTAAAGGGACCTAAATTAATGTCTGTGCGAGGCTTACTACATATTCTGCTTTGTTTCTCCCAAGAACACTTTTTTAAAAAATATATTTTATTGATTTTTTACAGAGAGGAAGGGAGAGAGAGGTAGTTAGAAACATCGATGAGAGAGAAACATCGATCAGCTGCCTCCTGCACAACTCCCACTGGGGATGTGCCCGCAACCCAGGTACATGCCCTTGACCGGAATCGAACCTGGGACCCTTCAGTCCGCAGGCCGACGCTCCATCCACTGAGCCAAACCGGTTTCGGCTCCCAAGAACACTTTTGAAGAATCCCTTAGAAAAGCAGCAAAACAAAGAACTTTTTAGACTACAAAGAGATTAACCAAGACATAATCAGTAAATAGTTTAATCATGATTATGTTATCAGTCTTCTCTCTAAAGATAGGGAATATGGGCCAATGGCAAAAAAAAAATGTAACTCTACTACTCCCTCAAATTCTAAATTTTTCTCTTTCAATTAGAAATTTTAAAGGAAATTTCAGCTTTAAAATGGACCTCATCTTTCACCTCAAATTACCTACATATGATGTCGTTTAAGACACACACAAGGATTTCGGGATTATTTTAATAGAAGACATTAATTTAGGTTCCTTTACTTAGAAAACAGGATTTTATTGTGAGGTGTCTTTTAAGAGATTTAGGTGCTCTAGGTACTGCCATGAGAATTTATACTCAAAAGATACCAAGGCACTCAGTTTATTTGGATCTTATACTTAAACATATTAAAACTTACGAAGCCCAAGATAAGCAAGCAACAAGTCAATAAGATCACAACTTAAAATTCTTACATTTTCACACGGTATCAGTGACTATGAAATGCAAAAAATCTTATAAATGTTTAAGTGGGATGATCTCTAAAAATGACACTAGTGTGACCAAACAAATGACCACATACTATGGAAGACTACAGCACATGAATAAGTACGGAAAGCTG